CTCTCTCTCTCTCTCTCTCTCTCTCTCTATGTGTGTGTATTGTATATATGTTTATCTGATAAGAATAATAAAAAATTAAGAAGTATATCATGACAACATTCGAATTTCACGGACCAGAAAACCAACTCTGATTAGAGGAATGGTTAAAACTTAAATTTAGAATTGACAGAGTTTTTATCGACAATTTAAATAAACATAAACCTGGTTTAAAAAACCTCAACCTGAGTTGACAAGAATTAAGGGGGAAATTTGTCATTGAAGACTTCCCCGACTTAGTAACTTTAAACTTAGGTAATAACCAATTATCAGAGGTAGAAATTAAAAATTGTCCGAATTTAAAAGAAGTTATTGCTTCTCATAATAAGTTAAACGAATTAAAAATAGAGGACTGTCCGGAAATAACCGATTTATATACCAGTTATAATGAATTAACTGAGTTGGATGTTAGCAATTTAGAAAAACTGGAAACTCTTTCTTATGACTGAAATAGACTATCTACCGAGGAAAGAGAAAAGTTAAACAGACTAGGCTTGCCAGAAAAAAGAAAAAAAGGGAAACGATTTTCATGGAGTAGTTTCAGAGAATTCTTTAAGGAATTTATTAAAAATAAAGAGAATAAACAAAAAGCAACTGAAATTGATATTAGTAATTTAGGTAGCAGATTAGGTTCCAGAAAGAAAAAATTAGAAATCAAAAACTACCCTAATCTTACTCATTTGAATGTTGATAATTGTAATTTAAAGGAGTTAAAAATAAAAAATTGTCCTGAATTGAAAACTTTATCTTTTAGGTTTAACCAAATTCAGGAGATTGATTTAAGTGGTTTGCCTAATTTAGAGGCTTTGTATTGTTCGGGTAATAAAATAGAAAAATTGGATTTAAGTAATAACCCAGAACTAAAACATTTAGTTTGTGATAATAATCCTATTACTAAACTAGAACTAAAACACTTAAAAGACTTAGAAAGTTTGTATTGCTTTAAGTGTTATTTAGAGGAATTGGATTGTAGCGGCTTAAAAAACTTAAAAGAGGTGTATTGTGCTAATAATAATGGTTGTTTAGAAAAAATAACAGGTTTAACTACTTGTGAAAATTTAATTGAGTTAGATTGCGCGGAGAATTCTTTAACTGAATTAGATATTAGCGGTTTAAAGAATTTAGAATTTGTTTCTTGTAAAGAATGCAGGCTTGATCTTTTTTGTGCTAAAGGATGTGGCAATTTAACTTATTTAGATTATAGTATTCAAAAAGTTTTTTCTCCTAAACAAATTGCAGAAATTAAAGAAGTGATTTCAGTTCCAAACATTAAAGTAATGATTTTAAATTTAATGGCTAGCGGTCCTGAATCACTTCCGAATGAAATTAAACAACTATTTGCTTCGTTTGAAATTTACCTTGATGGTGTTTCTGATATTAATCAAATTTCAGACTTACTTATTTCAGGTTCCATTAAAATTGTTAGTGAACTTAGAGAGGCCACGTTATTTACTAAGGAAGTTGGAAGTATTGAATTAAAAGGTTGTTCCAACCTAAAAAGAGTTATCTGCTCCGAAACCCCCCTTGACCCAAAGTTCTGAAAACTATTTCCTAAACTCGAACACTTATCCGTAGATGGTAAAGAGTGTTCTCTTTTTGAAAGATACTTAACCCTCAAAAGAG